CAGAATGTTTAATAGGCATGGAAGGACAGGTATGATTCCAAAAAGGGCTGAACCCTGGGAACACGAAGGTACTGCAAATACTATGAAGGTACTGTAAACATCATGATGAGATAATTTGGCTTGAGAAGAACATTTTCTCTTCCTCTTGTTCTACTATAAATAAGGTTGATTCTTAGAATAAAGCTTGCACTGGTTCACGCGCCTCTGCATTCCCTGTATCCTGATTTCTTCTGCACCTATACCTTAGGCTATTTCTTCTGCACCTATACCCATCAGGCTTGAATTGTGGTCACTGACCCATGACAGCTGGCGCCTGAACAGGGACCCCAACATTGCATTCAGAGGAGGTGCTCAGGATAGAGTTGCAGTTGACGTAAGTACAAGTCACCCAGAGGTGACAGAGTCTTGGCCAAGTATGTAAGTAAGTAAGTAAGTAAGTAAGTAAGTAAGTAAGTAAGTTAGTTAGTTAGTTAGTTAGTTAGTTAGTTAGTAAGTAAGTAAATAAAAGTCAACCAAAAGAGGTGACGGATATTTTGACTGGCTGGTACCGGTTGGTTTATATAAAAATTATTTTTAAAAAAATTATGTGCAGGGTAATGGGACAAGGTAAGTCTACTCCTTTTGTTTCTTTAGTTCATCATATTCTTCATAGTAATGGTGCACAATTTTCCAAAAAAACAGATAGATAATTGTATGCAAATAGTTGTAGAATTTAATTCATGGTTTCCTGATACAGGAACTTTAGATTTAGAAGTATGGGACAAGGTCAGAACAAATGTGGAAAAGGCATTTCAGACAGGAGAAACAAGACCACTTGATTTTTGGTCTGTGTGGGCACTTATCAGAACAGCTATTATATTAATTAATCAAGGTCCAAATAGTTTGTCACCAATTCAGGTTTTTTGTACTTCTAGTGAAGCAGTTAATCTCTATGATGTTCCTGAGAAGTTAAAGAATAAAGTTCCTAAGGAGCTTCAAGAGGCTAATTCTTTAGAGCCCTCTGTAGACACTTCTGCAAGGAAGGAGCCTTTAGCTCCTCCTTATCCAGCCCCATGCCTCTCGTGTCCAGATGACATGGAGGACTCATTAG